AAAAGCGACGGATTAGAAAAAGAAGATTAATTTCATTTATATGATGAAACTTTGACTTATACCCTTTGCATGCGCTGCAACTTAACATCCTTAAGCCTGCTTATTGTAGCAGATAAACCCTTTATTGTATCTGTACTTATGCTTTTCTGCCCAGAAGAGTCAACCAAACTTGGGTGAACACCGCAAACTGTTGATTTGAATTCCATCCCAAGAACCATGCACAGAGCATTTAGGACATTCAATTGGTCAAGCACCTGCTTCATGCGCTCACTCTGCATGTAAAGTCAATAAGTTTGATTTTGGAAGATAATCGAGAGTGAAATAGAGTACAGAAGCAGAGGAGTGTTTCATATAATGAACCTATGACTTCTAAAACTTAAAACTCAGATTTTTTCTGTGTCCACAAATTTAACATTTTCAGACTTAATACAGATGGCTGATAGTAAAGAAATGGTTTCAATTAAGTCAAATTGCTTTCCGATTCGAACATTCCGATTATGTAGCAATCAGCATAATGTTAAAATCCAAGTCACGACAAGATGAATGAATGGAGGAACAAAGAGAAACCTTCTCTTTCTGCAGAAAAGTCAACTGAGAGCGTAAATCATCCAATCTTTTCATCGACAAATCATGTTCATCATTTACTGTTGCACTAAAATTGTCTTCTATGGATCCTGAAAGCTCCTTAGCAATGCAATTTATTTGCCTCAAAACCTCTGAAAATTGAGCTTTCCTTTCATCTCTTTTCTTTTTCATATCTTCTAGTAGAGGCATGATCGCCTGAAGCTCTTTCTTCAAGCTCCCAGAACTCTGAATTCAAGCAGCAGAATAGCAATAGTATTGGAAACATACAAACAAATTACAATTATAAGACTAAACAGAACTTTTTTCTTTTTGTTTTTTTCAGGTTTATCTCTTTACCTTATTTACATGAACTGGTCGATCTCCCATTACAGAAGAGATGTCTGCAAGCTGCGCTTCGGCATCAGCAACCGCCTGTCTTAGCTGGGCCCGGGAACGGCTCGCCTGATCCACTTTCTTTCTATAAGCATCCAAACACTCTTGCTCAAGTTCAAAAAGCATTTTATCCCTTTCGTTATCAGCTTCCCCAATTTCATCCCATATTTTCTGGTGCATGTAAAAATTGTGAGAGGGAATGAAAAATTTAAGTGCACAAAGAGCAAAAACAACTATGTGTTCACTTTACATATGAGGTACTTAAAAGCTATAATCAAAGGTAACCTGTAGCTCAAATAGAAGAGATCCACAAGTTGTTCCCATTTCTAACGCCGATCTGTGTTCCAGTTATTCGAAGCCTTCTGTCCAGTATTGATGGAAAATACAGAAAACATCAAATTCCAAGAACAAAGATTGAGGATAAACGAATATACACTAAACTGGGAAAATATCCATCACAAACACCAACATTACATGACAGAATAAAAAAAAAAAAAAACACTAAGCATGAAAACAACATCTTCCTTAACTAAAACGTAGAAGAATGATTGTCATAAAGCATTGATCGCATAACCAGTCCAGAATTATTAGTCTGTTTACCCTGTCACCTTCGACCTGCACTATTCATCAATCTTCATGCAGAAAACATGAAGAAAATGTGTCGCCGTTAATCAAAGAAGATACTCACAATCAAAATATATATCTAAACCTAATCAATTTCCCACAAACTGCCACTTAAAAAACAAAAAATCCGGCGCACACACTTCAACGATCAGCCCAACAGTACAAATCTTCTGTTGTCAACCGGCTTTTCTCAACAACATGCAGGGCGCCCCATCAATTGCGGCCGTGGATCTTCAAGAAGTGAACAACATCTGAGTACCACTTTCCCCTTGATTTTCCACAATCCATTTTTAACGTTCAAGCAAGAGACATTGAAAAATGAGCATATTGTACGCAAACAAAACCTGAATTGAAGCACAGCCGGTGATACAGTGGCGATTTCTATCCGAAATTGTTGGAGAATTCGCCAAGATTTCTTCTGTTTCTCCAAATGGGAGCATATAAAGATTGCGACAATAACCCTAGAGGCTAGAAGGTGAAGCGGAAAATGAAATCTGTAACGCTTGTTNNNNTCAATGAATCAAATGATTTTGGGCGGGAGTGAAACGATTGTGAAATTAAAATCATCATATCTTTCTCCTTTTCTTTAGCGCTTTTGTGCTTCTTTTGAAGAAAGCGTGTTCGAGCGTTTTGTGTCGTTAGGGGGTCTCCGTGGGCCCGCATTTTTGAATTTTCGAAAAATGATTTTGGAGTTTGGAATTTGGATGTGTCCGTTTTGTTTCGTTTGAAAAATGAAAACGTAAGAAGATTGATTGCTTTTCCGCTTTTCCCGTTTATTATTTCTTTATTCTTTTTCGGGTCACATTTGAATATGATAGTTCAAATTGCTTGTCAAAAATAAAAATATAGTTAAATAAGATATTAAAAATTATATTTAAAGTTATAAGTTAGATAATGTGTATATCATATTTTAAGATTTTAACGATTAATAAAAATGAACAATTTAAATATAAATTGCATAACTTACGTGTGAATCACTATATTTATGACATATATTGTAAGATATAATATAATTTGAATAATTTTGATATATCATAACCAACTAATTGACTGAAAATTATTATTATTATTATTATTATTATTATTATTATTATTATTATTATTATTTTTATTATTATTTATGTGCTAAAATCATGCGTAGCTAAAAATAATGAAGCAAAAGTCAAGGGTCCAACAATTATTGTAATTGAAAATGTGCTAAAATTATGTCAAAATATCCATATTTTCAAAAGAAAAAATAAAAGGTGATTTTAGATAAGAATGGACGATAAATGCATTAATGATTAAAATAAAAAAATATAATTATTAAATGTGCGTAACCGAAAAAGACTAGAAAATGAAAAGAGTTTATTAAAAAATTTGCTTACAATTACCTATATGTGTGTGTGGATCGAATTAGGTGTGATTGACCGCAAAACTTCACTGACTATTATTTATCAAATTAGTGCAGAGCCCATGCGATCCACAGAGTGCATAATTTTAAAATTATTTATTCAGACTTATAATTATATACATGAATAAATAAAAATGTACGAGATATATATAGTATGTGCACAATTTAAAAATTATTTATCCATACTTATAATTATATACATGAATAAATAAAAATGTACGAGATATATATAGTACGTGACCCGTGCGAGGCACGAGATATATTTATTTGGGTATCACCAGTTTTTATTTGTTTCTGTTGCACACTTTTAATGTCAACAACCATTCCTATAACATCTACAACAAAAAATAAATATATTATAATTTAATTACTTTGCAATAAACAAATAAAATTAGAAACAACATAAAATAATCTTACCGAATAAAATCGATTCGTCGATTTTGTTGACATCTTGTAGAGTTGCAAAGTCTTTGAATTGAAATCGAAATACAGGAAATTCTTCCTTGCACTTTGTAAACATAGTACTCCTGCAGCATGATCTTAAAATCACCGGATGTCGAACGATACTTTCCTAAATTGCTGTCCACTTGATAATTTTTGGTACAATTAACCATGCCCTCCAAAAAATTCATCTCTCTAAACGCAGTCAAGTTGATTGCCCGTAGCCATGCCGTAATGCGATTTCCCTAAACATGTACAAAAAAAAAATCAATAAAAAATTACTTTGTTTAAAAAACATAAATAATGTAAATATCTAAATATATACACGATCTCTAGAAGAAATAAGCAAATTCTAAATTTTAAAAATAAAATAAAAAAAATAAAAAATATACGTTTCATATTTTGAAATGAAAAAAAGAAGTAAAAATAATTTGGTTTTATCATGCAGAACCAACTCGAGATAGGATTTGTATGTGCTGCCCCAGTCTTGGAAAAACATTTTTACAATTCGAACTTTAAGCATAGGTCTATTAGACCTATTAACTTGTTTGATTAAGCCAAATCCTTGATTCATTATTTTGAATAAAAGACTGATTGAGGATTTTTTATTTTTATTTTTTTTTTTCAGGAGGTTGAAAGCAGGAAGACGATGGCTCCATATTTTGAAATTTATAATTTATAATTGGTAGAGTAGAATCATTATCTGTTAAGATTTTTTAAAAAAAATCTTGATATACGGAAATCACATTATATGTAGAGGAACAAATCAGATCAAATTTTTCATACAATTAGATAAGATTTTTTGTACAAAGATAAGAAGAAATTTTAAATCTACACAAATTATAAATATTAGATATATTGATTTACGTAAATCAATATTTATGTAGACAACCAACCTTTCAATTTAGGCTTGACATCTAATTTATTTTTGATAAAATCAAGATTTTATCTTTCGATCAAATCTGTCTTTTTTTTGTTTTACGGACATTTTTTTTCGTACCGATTTTATGAAAAAAACAATTAAATAAAAATTAATTGATGGAAATAGAATGCATTAATTACCTTTGACTTTCTTCCTACTAATTCTAGTAAATGGGATGGCTCTTTATATAAGTATATATATGTATATATATAGGGGACGGATCCAATGAGACCACTCCTTAAAATGAGTACGTGAGACTCAATCTTAGCCACTCATTTTGTCTAGATCAAAATCAATTAAAATATACATTAATTAAATAATAAAATAATTATTAGTTGACTCCGGTATTGACCGTTGACTTCTGACATTGACCGTTGACTTCCGGCAAAAAATTGTTGACTTCCGGTGAAAATCGTTGACTTTCGGCGTTGACTCCGGCGTTGACCCGTTGACAAATAACCTACCAGCAAGATAAATAACCTAGCAACAAAAGACACCTAACCTAGCAGCAAGAAAGAAATATTCTAGCAATAAAATACAACTAACCTAGCAGCATCAGGCAACTAACCTAGCAGCAAGAAAGAAATAACCTAGCAACAAAATACAACTAACCTAGCAGCATCAGACAAATGCTCTCCCTTCCCTCTAGCTTTCTCTCTCTACAAACCCTTCTTCCCCACTTTCAAACCACCGTTCATCCCTCTTCCCCGCCGCATATCTGCACGCCGGCAGGCTTCCTCCACCGCCACGGGCGGCGAGCCGCCTGACCTCCCTCTCAACCATCTCAGAACCCATTCATGGACTCTAACCCAACCGTCCCGTCTCCTGGCCCCTCGGAGCCGTCTTCCCTCCGCCCTCCTATTCCTTAACCTCCCTCACCAATAGTCACAGCGGAGCTATCTTCTCTGATTTCAGCGGAAGTGACGAAAGCCCTTCAACACCTCAATCTGCTATACCGACCAGAAACTCAGCAAGTTTCCATGGACTCCTTGGGTAAGAATCACTGTTCGGAAAAAGGGGTAATCCCGTCTTCTGTGACCGACAATGCGATTGGTCCAGTCGCCGAAATGGCGGATCCTAATCCACAACCAATTGGAAGCAATTGTCCGATGATGTTTGGGTCTTTTCAGCAGGGAATAATACTGTCGGTCATCCCAAATCTGCAGCTTGAAGACGGCGCAACAGCCTCAGCTGCACTCCCCCAGGTTAGTTGGGCCGAATCCTTTCAACACTACCCCTCAAATGGATTTACACAATCCCAGGCCCAAGTCTCTAATTGGGCCGAAACCCTCAAACCCTCCTCATACTTCCCAACTAATATCAGCCCATCCGGCCCATAATCCTCACTCTACCCCCAACGCCCAGCCCACAAAGCCCACAGCCCAAACCAAACAACCCACCCTTCAAACCCAAACTACATTCCAGCCCGCCTTTCAACCCAACACACAGGACGTATCTCACCAATATCCTGCGGCCACCACCATTCATCCGACAGACACCAACCACAAGACCCTCGTCGGCGCGGACGCCGGCTCCGGCAAAGTTCCGGCCACTGGAAGCTCTCAAACGGTCGGAATTCCATCCGTGGCAATCCAGGAATTGCTTTCTTCGGCCGGCATTCTCGGTCCTCGGCCAAACTTACCTTCGCCGACCGAGCAATCGTTGGAATGTCCACCTCTGATACCGGAGCCTCCAACCCGACTGTCTTGTATGTTCGGGAAGACGGTGTGATTGTTGCGAGCCCGAACCCAACAGCTGCGGCTCATTTTACCGAACATCCCCCGAACGGACCTCGGCCAATGAGCGCAGCAACGACCAACCCCACCACAACCGGGCCCCCTCCAACCACTCACACTGGACCACTTTCCTTCCGTGAGGCTATTATCGGAAAGAGAGATGGCGCCACGGGCGCCCCACGGCCAACGGCCAAGGATTTCGCCTTTGACGGGGGATACGAACATGCCTGCGGGACCATTATCCGCTCGGAAGGGAATAAAGTGAAGGCCCGATACACTGAAGCCGAATCTGTCGCTCTTGCCGGTAAGTTAGCTAACACCTTGGTCTTTAAGTTTTCTTATGCTATCCCCGCCCCCCGAGATATCTCTGCTGGATTAGGAAAACTGAGTTTTAAGGGTAGAGTCTCCTCTAAGTGGTATAATTTCAATCACCTCTTAGTATCCTTTCATCTCCCCGAGGACTATAACGAGGTTTGGCTTAAGACCTCGATTCATCAATGTGGATGCCCAGCTAGGGTGTTCAAGTACTATGTCGGGTTTAACCCGAAGACAGAGACGCCGGTTGTCCCTGTGTGGTGCCGTCTTCCCGACCTCCCACCTCACCTTTACGATTGTGCCACCATCACTACACTTGCTAAGTGTATTGAACAGCCGATTCGTATTGACGCCCCGACGACCCTTCAGACGAGGGCTAACGTGGAGCGATTTTGCATCGAGATAGATCTCAGAGTCGAGCCCGTCCATGAGATTGAAATTGAACAGGGCTCGGAGACCCTTGTTCAGCGGGTGATCTATGAAAAGATCCCCGCGTTCTGCTCCTTGTGCAGTCATGTGGGTCATACTGCAGCTGATTGCTACACTAGTGGCAATAAGCCACGACCCACACTTTCGCAGCGCCATCGTGCGGCTCAGCCAGGGCCCTCCACCGACAGAAGGGACCCTTAGGGAAAGGGCCAAATCCCTCTCCGTGCACCCGAGACCCCAAAGGGGTCTAAGGATAAGGGCAAGGCTGTGATCGACGCCACTGCCTAAACTGGGAAGGATGCTCACCCTAACCAGCCTAAGCAGTTGGCCATAGTTGGGCCAAAGCCCAAGTCCACGGACTTTCTTCCCAAACAGACCCTCCAGTCGGCCTTCAAGGCCAACCACTCGTACTTCGCTATTCTCTCCCCACAAGCAGAGAATGAGGGCGCACCTTCCACTAGTGGCCCACCTAGGATTACTGACCTCACGCTTCTTGACGACGACGACCTCCTTGTCGAAGATATGAACCAGCCGGATGCCTCGACCAGGGGTGAGTCCATCCATTTATCCGATGACAGTGCACGCGACGCTGCTCCCTTGACCGTGCATGCATCTAGTCTGGACCGCTCTCTGAATTTGAGGGTCAGTGCCGTCTCCGCTCCCCCGAAAGGGGATGAGACGGTCCCTCCTCTCTCTCCTGAGATTAGGAGCACGGCTGAGCATATAGCCAGCCCTCACCTCCCTCTAGCGGCGAGCACAGGACTACTCTGCCGACTGGATCCTCTCTTTCTCCCATCACCGAGCAGGCATGCGGTCTTAACCGCACCCAGCATGACGTCTCGTGCGAGAGCTTCGCATCTAGTGCCTTCGTGCACTATGACAGACAGGAGACAGCCCCGGAGATGGGGCAACCCGCTAGTGCCGCTCTTGGTCAGACTGCCCAGCTAGACGACACGCAGGCCACGAGCACCTACCGAGGCAGGCAGTCTACGAGGACCAGAGCCACGCAGCGCACGACGCGATGGACTGTCTCCCCTGCTATTGGATCCTTCCGCCACATTCATTCTTTAGGTGGCCCGACCCAGCCTCGCCACAGGCGGACTATGTCCGGTGGCTCTTGCGACCGTTGACATGTCTATCTCATCCATTACTTGGAATGGCCGTGACCTGGCGAATAGGGCTACTCTCTCTGACCTCCATTCTCTCATTCGTGACCACAGACTCGATTTTGTTGGCTTTATTGAGCCGATGATTCGTACCCCTTCTTTTGAATACTACTCGCGTCGCCTTGGCTTTCACTCAGGCGTGGGTTATATTTCGCATAAGATCTGGTTCTTTCACTCGCGTGATTACACTTGTCGGGTCCTCCGTGACACCGATCAGGTGCTTCACGTTGAGCTTTCCGCTGCCCACCTCCCAGAGCCCATCTTTCACACCTTGGTTTATGCCAAGTGTACTAGGGTCGGACGCTATGATCTTTGGGACACCCTGCGTGAGATTGCCGAGAGTATGGAGGGATTGCCATGGATGGTTAGTGGCGATTTCAACATCTTTCTGCATCTCGATGAGCGCGTAGGTGGCCGTTCGGACCGGTCACGAGAGATGTGGGATTTTGCTCAGGCGGTGGCGGACTGTGAGTTAATTGACGCTGGATGTGATGGTGAGCCCTTCACGTGGGTGAAGGACGGACTCAAAGAGAGGTTAGACCGTGCCCTTCACGCTGGATGCGAAGGTGTTTGCGGTTACGACCGTCACACACCTTACTCGATTCGGATCTGACTATTCACCCCTTCTCATCAAGTGCCGATTTTCAAGCACCCCCACCGCTCTTCATTTAGGTTCCAGAACATGTGGGTTCGCCACCACTCCTTCCACGACACTGTCAGGGATTCCTGGCTTCAACCGACTGGGCTCTTCGAGATGCGTAATCTCGAGGCGAAGCTCGGTAGACTGCGGCGTCGGTTGAGACAGTGGAACTGGGATGTTTTTGGAAACCTTCATCAACGCCTTGCTGCGGCTCAGAGTGCGCACGCGACGGCTGAGCGGGCCTATGACCTGGACCCCACTCCGGAGAATAGGACTGCCATGCACCGCTGCCACGCCGAGTACCAGCTCCGACTCCTTATGGAGGAGGACTTCTGGAAGCAGAAGGCGGCCGTTCGCTGGGTGGTCGATGGCGAATACTAGGTTCTTCCAAGGCTACATTAGGCAGAAGCATGCTAAGTCGTACATCCATAGTATCGAGGATGATGGGTCATCCTTGACCCAGGAGGCTCAGATTCAGGAGTCGGCTGTTGCTCACTTTCAGGCCCTCTTCACCTCTGACAGAGGGTCCCTTGTGGCCCCGACCGCTTCTCTTTTCCCCACCATTCCTCATTTGGTCGATCTCATTGGCCTCTGTGAGCTCCCGAGTAGGGAGGAGGTTAGGGATGCTGTATTCGGGATTGATCCCAACAGCGTTTCTGGCCCGGATGGTTTCTCCTCCCTCTTTTATCAGTTCTACTGGGATCTAGTCGAGACTGACGTCGAGGAGGTGATGTTGGATTTTTTCTCTGGCTACTGGATGCCGGATTCCTTCACGTCTACCTCTGTCGTCTTGATCCCCAAAAGACCCAACCCGAGCTCTTGGTCCGATTACAGGACCATCAGCCTGTGTAACGTGACCAACAAGCTCATTTCGAAGATCCTTAACGGCCGTCTTTCCCCTCTTCTCCCCTCTCTCATCTCTCCGAACCAGAGTGGATTCGTCAAGGATCGGGTCATTAGTGATAACATCCTTTTGGCCCAGGAGATGATCCACGACATCTCCCGTGCGGATTGGAAGCGGGCTTCGAATATCGCGCTGAAGCTAGATATGGCTATGGCGTATGATAGGATAGAGTGGTCGTTTCTTAGGGAGGCTCTGGCTAGGATGGGATTTCTTGACCGTTAGATCAGTTTTGTCGAGGCGTGCGTGGAGCACTGCACGTTCTCGGTCCTGGTCAATGGCAGCCCCACCGATTTCTTTCCCTCATCTAGAGGCCTTAGACAGGGCGACCCCCTGTCCTCCTCCCTTTTCGTCCTTGCGGCGGACTACCTCTCTCGCTGCCTTGACGGTTTCATCCGCGACTTTCTTCATATGACGTATAGCACCCGTGGCTATGGTCCTCCCATCTCTCACCTCTCTTATGCGGATGACATCATCATCTTCACCCGGGCGGATGATGATGGACTGGTCGAGCTCATGCGCCTTTTGGAGCACTATGGCTCAGTTACCGGTCAGCTGGTCAGTGTGCAGAAGAGCACATTCACCCTCTCCTCTTCCAGTGCGGCCAG